CAACATGCCCAAAGTACGTCAGACAAAGCTTAGAATCCTTGACTCCAAGGAGCATTCCAGCTTCACATTCTCCCAAACAAACTTGTTTATTCTCCTAACAGTCCATGGTATATTCAACACTCTTCTCCAGCACCACAACTCAAAGGCATCAATTCTCTTTCTATCATCCCTATTCACTGTCCAACTCTCTAATGCATAGCATGTAATTGCAAAGGCTATAGACTGGATCAGGAACACCTTAGTCTCCAGCCTGACGTCGTTGCTCTTCAGTACTCTTGAGAGGTCCCTCACAGCTGACTTTCCCAATGCAATTCATTGACTGTGGAGCCGAGTAAACGAAAACTGTTAACTATCTCAATCTCTTCACCATCTATACTGATGCTGCCAATTGGCCCAGTAGTGAGAATCTTTGTTTTCTTGATATTGAGCTTCAATCCATATTGAAGACTGCAGTCCTTGACCTTTTGCAGCAAGCGCTTTTGGTCTTCCTCAGTTTCAGCGAGCAGGGTTGTGTCATCTGCATAACGCAGGTTGTTGATGATTCTTCCACCAATCCTGATGCCACATTCCTCCTCATACAGCCCAGAGTCTTGGATGATCTGTTCTGCATACAGATTGAAAAGGAATGGAGACAAAATACAACCCTGACGGACCCCTTTCTTGATTTTGAACCATCCAGTGTCTCCCTGCTGTGTTCTGAAGACTGCATCCTGGTCCAAGTATAGGTTTCACATTAGCACGATCAAATGTTCTGGGATTCCCATTCTTCTCAGAGTCAGTCATACTTGTTGTGCTCCACACAGTCAAAAGCCTTTGCATAGTCAATGAAGCACAGATAGACATTCTTCTGGTATTCTCTGCTTTCTGCCAAGATCCATCTTACAAATTACATTTGTTATTTATAGATGGCATACTAAGTGACAGTCAAAATAATTTCATTGTCAAGTAAAAATGTTATGTAAAGCTAAAACCTTGTGTCTTGAAGGTTGCATCTTAAGAATTCAAATTTATTACTATTTAAATATCTATTGATATGCATTATTTAAACTGCATAAAAATGGAAACTTGTGTTTACTAATATTACTGAAATTAATCCAGATTACACAAACACACACAAGCACTCCCTCTACTCCCATACCATCAAAGATGTACCTAGAAATAAACCATAGCAGTTTGTTACTCTTGCTGCCCCAGTGACCAGAGGCTGCTATTGGCATTTATTTGGTGAGCTCCAATGATGTTAAATATTGCAAGACTGACAAAGAATTATTCTTCCCATAGCGCTCATAGAACTTTGTTGATAACTGTTGAATCTTGCTTATTTATCTTTAAATAAAAGCAATGTAAATAGATTTTTAAATTTTAAATAGATTTAAAAATTTATTTCTGGATGCAAGTAATATAAAGTATAAAGACCAACAACAAAAGACACTTTCTTGAATTCATTTACTAAGAATATAAATTTTCTTTGACTTGGAAAGTAGCTGGAGTGAGCTAGTATATTACTAGAAGTTTGTTCTCTATAAATTCTAATTGCATATTTCTAAAGTTATAGTCCCCATCATAGCTTGACTTTAATTCAAATTGAAATAGCCATTATAATACCCTTCATTCCCTGAGAATATGTACCTGAACTTATTGTAAGTCAGAAAGAACTGTGATAAATGCTGCATTATTTCAGTGTGCAGAGTCAGTTTATTTTAGCATTGAAAAATAGGCAATGACAAGTGTGGAATGATTTCACGTGAAAAATCAGAGACTTTTCAGTCAAACTTGCAGGCTTAGAGGCTTATTTCAACATTATATAAAAGAAAGTTGTTTGGTTTCCCAAGACCCTATTTTTTGCCTCTGAATTATATTAATATCATTATTCCCTGTTCTAGCTACCCCATAAAGTGAAGGTGAAGACCAAATTTCAAATTCCTCATGAAAACTGTTTATGAGCTACAGTCCTCTATTAACCATACCACCAAAGATATATTAACAAGGCATTTGATTCTTTGTTACTATTTACAATACATCAGAAAGAGGGAATATTTTTATTGGGTTTTGTTTCTTCTTAGTCATATCCCCAAATATTTCTGACAAAATAAGAAAAAGGAGGGGTATTCATAATCTACATATCAATTGAGAAAAGTTAATATGCTTTGCTATATTTTATACTGTACTTAATGAACTGTATTAAACAATTGTAGTCGTAAAGAAATGAAATTCTATTAGTTAGAGTTTTTAATAGGTGTTTCTAAGATCCTCCCCAATGTCCTCTACATTGCAGGCTTTGTGTTAGCAAGTTGAGTTTCAGATTTGAACTGACACAGATATATATATAATCACTGATTAAAAAGCTAAAGAAACTTCTTTTCAGATAACATTAAGATACTTTCCCAAATTTCTAAATTAATATGTATGTATTTCAAGTTCCAACATCTCTAATATCCATCTAGTTTTATTGAAATTTTGGAAAATATTTTATTTAAATTCCAATATTACCACATGCACTTCTTAGATTCATTGTTATGTTCCTTAATCCCCGAAGTCCATAATATATATAGCTTGGTTTTCTTTTCTCTGTTTATTAAATAAATTTTTATTTTATACTGGTTTGGTTTTGGAGTTTACATACATTGTTTTACACACTATCTTCATTCACATTATGTTTCATCCAGTTATTCCCATTAATCATATTTTATAAAATTAATCAACATGGAAATGTACCCATCATTGCCCTGTCTTTCCAGATCCCAGATGGATCTTACCCATATGCAGCAAGCTAGAGTAATGATTTAGAAAATTACTACATAAACTGGAAGGACTAGAGAGCATTATGCTGAGTGAACTCATTCAGTCCTATAAGGACAAATACTGTATAAGACCATCATAGAAATAGAAAGATAACTAGTAAAATGTGTATGAGGATCCATGTTGTGGAAAGGGTAGGGGCAGAGAGGTGAGGTTGGTTATTTTTTTAAAACATTTTGAATTATCTTTCAATATTCTTAACAATTCTATGTTAACATCCTTCTCACAGTACATGCTTTGGTTATTTTTGGATTCTCTTTTTTATATCTTATTATCATCCCTTTCTCATGCTAAAGCAGGGGCATGAGTCAGATGCTATTTCAACATATGATCCCATGGTTGACATTTAGTGCATGACATATTATATGAAGGTAGGGGACATGCAATTATTTCCTAGCCACAAGCTGCTAGTTCCCATTTTCTAGTGTAAGAAAATTAGTTCAAAGGAGAGAAGAACAAGAACTAGGGTCATGTTAAAGATGTGAACAGAGTTTCTTAAGTAGGTAAATAAGAAATTAAAATTGTGGTGTCAAAAATCTCATGGTAAGGTTACTCTCTGAGGTATTCTCTTTCAGAGGAAGCCTCCTCATATATCCACAAGTCCCAAAGATTGGTATTTAGCTTCTCTTCTTACTGCCATGATCTACTGCCTGTTGTTGTTGTTGTTATGTGCCTTTGAGTTGCTTGCAACTCATAGCAACCCAATGTATAACAGCTCTAACCCTGCTCTATCCTGTGCCAATCTTATTGTCTCTGACACACCTACTCCCTATTACCCCAGTCAATGAATCAATCCATCTCATAAAGGGTCTCCCTCGCCTGCACTGTCTCTCTACCCTCTCAAGCATGATGTCCCTCTCCAAGGAATGGTCTTGCCTTGCAACATGTCCAAAGTATGTCAGATGAAGCTTCAGAAGCCTTGCTTCCAGGGAGCAGCCTGGTTTCACCCTCTCTCAGATGACCCTGTTTGTTCTCCTAGCTGTACATGAATTATTGCTTATAAGATGTATTTCATGACTTTTGTAGGACACCAGCAATATGCATGTTACACTTCTCTCTTTTCTACTGATCCTTAAGACTACAATATTTCTACTGCAAATGAGAAAAAGAAACAGTCTTGATGAATTAGATGATGATCTGAAATAAGATTAACCTAACTAGCAGAAGAAAATCCATATTTAGGTCATTACTTTAAGTTTCATCATAGAAGCTGGGGGTATAAATTTGAGGGGGGTAGTGTCCTAAAGTAAAGGGAAAGAGATGTCTAGGACCTGAGAATGTGGCAGGTGGTTTTATTTGTAATGTTAAGAAATGGAGAGAGTATAGGGTAAACACTCCAAATATTCAACGTCCCTCTTTCACTGGTGCTTTTCTACATTAAAAAATGACTAGGGAAAGTACAAGTTAGAAACAGAAAGGGAGAAATCATTAGGGTTCAGCACAAGTATGAAATAAAGTCAAGAAACTACTTGTATGAAACAAAAAAAAAAACCATTGAGCCCCTATTGAGGCATGTTACAAAAAAAAATGAAACAAAACAAAAAACTGCACTGATTGTAATTCTGCTTTAATTATGGTTAGCTTTTTTATAGACAGTAAAATATAAATGACATGGAATAGTTAGCATACATCAGTGGTAACATAAGTAGAATATTAGGGAGGGAGAAAAAGAGTTATTCTTACCTGTTGTCCATTAATGCCAGGCAGACCTGGATGTCCTTTTTCTCCTGGTTCACCCTTAAAAGAAACAGGAGCACTTTAACAGTGTGGCCATGAATCCCTTGAAAGGAACATTTATTAAAAAAGAAAACAATTCTAAGTACTAAAACTAATATGTGAAGGTTAAAGATACAAAGGAAAGCTGCATAAAAATGATTAAAGAGTAGAAGCAGAAAGATTATTTTCTTCTGTAAGAAGCAAAAACACCCCCACAATTTAGTAATATATATCAAGAGTCTTAGCTCTATTAATTGCACTTGACCCAGTGATTTCACTTCTAAGAAACCATTAAAAGAATAAAGAAAATAAAGAAAAACACAAGTGAAAAATTTGAGGCACTAAATTTAGAATGCAGCAGCTACCCATAGTAGTAAAATAAGAGAAACATCATAAATGTACAATAGGAAGAGACTGGTTAAATTAGTTTGGATAAACATACACAATGGGATATGATGTATTTATTAAAATAATTTTTATGAATTCTGTTTTATACTACAGAAGATTATTGCAATACTAAAAGGTAAAAGAGAAGAAAAGACCAAGATGGATGCCAGATGAAACTCTGAGTATTGCATTAGAGCGCCAAGAAGCCAAAGCTAAAGGAAGAAATCAAGAAGTCAAAGAGCTGAACAGAAAATTTCAAAAGGCAGCTTGGGATGACAAAGCAAGATGCTATAATGAAATGTGCAGAGAGCTGGAGTCAGAAAATCAAAAGGGCTGGACTCGCTCAGCGTTTCTCAAGCTAAAGGAGCTGAAAAACAAATTCAAGCCACGGGTGGCAATACTTAAAGACAGTTGGGGTAGAATGTTGAATGATCCAGGATGTATAAAAAGAAGATGGAAGGAGTACACAGAGTCACTGTATCAGAAGGAATTGGCTGGTACAGAGGAATTTAATTAAATAACATATGAGCAAGAACCTATGGTGATGAAGGAAGAAGTTCAAGTTGCTATGAAGGAATTGGCAAAAACAAGGCACCAGGAGTTGACTGCATACCAATTGATTTATTTCAACAAACAGACACTGCCCCAGATGTGCTCACTAAGTTGTGCCAAGAAATCTGGAGGACAGCCAAGCTGGCCAACTGACTGGAAAAGATCGATATTTGTTCCCATTCCAAAGAAAGGTGACCCAACAGAGTGTGGAAATTATTGAACAATATCATTGACATCACAAGCAAGCAAGATTCTGCTGAAAATTATCCAAAAACGTTTAGAACAATATGTTAACAGAGAACTGCCAGATGTGCAGGCTGGATTTAGAAGAGGTCGTGGTACTAGGGATATCATAACCAATGTAAGATGGATCTTGGCAGAAAGCAGAGAATACCAGAAGAATGTCTATCTCTGCTTCATTGACTATGCAAAGGCTTTTGACTGTGTGGATCACAACAAGCTATGGCTGACTCTGAGAAGAATGGGAATCCCAGAACATTTGATCGTGCTAATGTGAAACCTATACTTGGACCAGGATGCTGTCGTCAGAACACAGCAGGGAGGCACTGGATGGTTCAAAATCAAGAAAGGGGTCCGTCAAAAAATGTATTTTGTCTCCATACCTTTTCAATCTGTATGCAGAACAGATCATCCAAGACTCTGGGCTGTATGAGGAGGAATGTGGCATCAGGATTGGTGGAAGAATCATCAACAACCTGCGTTATGCAGATGACACAACCCTGCTCGCTGAAACTGAGGAGGACCTGAAGCACTTGCTGCAGAAGGTCAAGGACTGCAGTCTTCAATATGGATTGAAGCTCAATATCAAGAAAACAAAGATTCTCACCACTGGGCCAATTGGCAGCATCAGTATAGATGGTGAAGAGATTGAGATAGTTAAGTTTTAGTTTACTTGGCTCCACAGTCAACACTCTTGGTAACCACAACCAGGAAATCAGGAGACGAATTGCATTGGGAAAGTCAGCTGTGAGGGACCTCTCAAGAGTACTGAAGTGCAATGACATCAGGCAGGAGACTTAGGTGCACCTGATCCAGGCTATTGTCTTCCCAATTACGTGCTATGCATCGGAGAGTTGGACAGTGAATAGGGATGATAGAAAGAGAATTGATGCCTTTGAGGTGTGGTACTGGAGAAGAGTGTTGAATATACCATGGACTGCTAGGAGAACAAACAGGTTTGTCCTGGAGAGGGGGAAGCCAGTATGTTCCCTGGAGTCAAGGATTCTGAAGCTTTGTCTGATATACTTTGGGCATGTTGCAAGGAGGGACTGGTCTTTGGAGAGGGACATCATGTTTGGGAGAGTGGAGGGGCAGCGCAGGAGAGGAAGACCTTTGATGAGATGGATCGATTCTGTGAGTGGAGTGGTGGGAATGAATGTGTTTGAGACAGCGAGGCTGACACAGGATAGAACAGCATTTAGGGCTATTGTAAATAGGGTCGCTATGAGTCGCAAATGACTCGATGGCACATAACAAAAACAACAACAAACAAAAGGTAAAATAAAATTAACAAATATGATGCATTTATTAAAATAATTTTTATAAATTCTATTTATACTACAGAAAGATTACTGTAATACTAAAAGATAAAGTAAAATTAAATATGCATTAATCTTAATGAAATATTAATACTCATTAATTTTAAGTGGATAAATCAGAGCCACACTTATTTCTACTACTGAAAAGTTAGAAAAGTTCAAAATGAACACTACTATCAAAATGACCAGTATTATTACCATTGACAACACATATTGATTAGTATTTTCAATATATATATTTTATTGGCACATCCTGCAAATCTGCAGTGTAATTCAAATTTATTTAAAAACATCTGTGTCCCTTTCTGCTGATATCCACCTGCATATCTTTCTATCTATGAGACTTAGAAACAATA